ATGAAAGACTTGACTCTGGCCAAAAAAGTATATCACTCCTTAAGAAAACAAAAAAATCCATACAAGTGAGGCTACCAAAAATCTTTATCAAGTTAAATGTGAAACAGAGATTATGAAGAGCTATAGATCAGAAATAGGAAGCCCGTTTTTCTTCCCTCCCTCCTATCCTTGCCCAGGTATGATTTTCTCTAGCTGAAATATGAAAAGTAAATTGTTTAAAATATCAAAATAAAGGAAGGACCACAGGAGAGGTAGTAAGTCCATTAGACCCCCAGTGCAAAAGAGGAAATCAAACAGGATAAGATTGTTTCATAAAACTAAATTATTTCTTTACATGAGCCTTCAGAGACAAAGGTAAGAATACCTGTCCTGGGATTACTCTTTCCACATAAAGCAAAATAAGGCTAGAAACAGAGAGGTTAAAAAAAAGTTTGTGAAGTTAAAATGGCAAAAAAGACACTGTTTCTTCAGGTAAATTAACTGCATGCTGACGACGTCAGCTGTTCCCTGCAGGAGGAGATCCTGCCCCTATCCACCCTAGGTTTGCCCCGAGGTGTTTGAGGAGGGCAGAAGGAAGGATAAGGCTTTCAGAAAAGTTCCAGATGCCCAGATCCCAGAAACGCGCGTCCCTCTTCTGTCCACAAAAGGGGAAAGCCACAAACCTCTACAGTGACTAACTAGTGTGCTTCAGCCCTGATGCAGAGGCCAGGAGCAGCATCGAGAAAAGCCTGTTTCTTGTCCACAACTGTTTGATTATGGACTCATCTGCAGAAATGCTAACTAGTGCCATCTGCAGCGACATTTTTGGGGGGAGAAGAGAAGTCAAGCGTTAAGACAGAACCAACTCTGGCTGCATAGACTTCTGAAAAGCTGTCAGCTGCCAGCATAGCTTACAATCACAACTCACCCCTGGACACATTTCAAGTTAGTGACTGGCTCCATGATCTATCCTAATCCTTTAAACCACCCAATCATTTAAGTGACCAGGCTTGATCTTGGTTCCAATAATGACTTATTAGGAAATCATTTAAGGAATATTAGGAAGTCTTTAAGGAAAAAAAAACCCACACCACCCACAGATTAGACATTGAGTAATCCCATAGACACCTTAAGAAAAATCGCCTGTCCTATTCTAAGTTGCTTTCTGTGTATTACTTAAAAACACTCTGAAGTAATCCACTGCAAAACAAGATACTCTTTATATGGAAATGGAGCTCCATTCACATCTGTGTTTTCACAAGATGATTCAGGAATGCCTGCACCTTGACATGCTTTCTGTGGTACTGTGCTGATCCTGGTATGCTTATGCTGGAGCCCAGCAGAGGCTCAGCACGGGTAGATGCAGTTTGCTGCTGGCAGTTTTATTAGGGATTGAGAATGGTTTACAACTGGATCTTGTCAGAAATGTTCTCGTTAATTCCTCCCCCAATTAGAAAACGCAGATTTTGAGCTTGTGGCCTCCCTTTGCCAGTTCACAGCCTGACAACCCTGAGCTCAAACACCCCGATTGTCTTCTGCTTTCTAGAGGTGGTTTAATCCAAACTCCATCCTCTTGCTACTCCTAGTCCCATCTCTTCATCTCTGCCTTACTTTGTTCTTGTCCTCTTTAGCACTTATTCTACTACATATTTGTTCAGACTTCTCACAGCAGGTTGAAGTTGAGTTCAAGTGAAGGAAGAGTAAGAATAGGGTTTGGCCTGGTGCAAGGTGTTTCAGATGCAAAAGGACATGAAGAAAGAGTGTCACCCTATAAATTGCACTGAATTTTAATCTTCTGATCTTACTGTTTGATTATACGCAGTGAGGTCTATGTTATGAACTCTTACACTCTTCCCCACACCCAAATGCATTGCTACAGTAGAAGGCAGAATAGGTTCATTCATCCTAGAGGCAATCACCTGCCCGCTTGGGGCTGTACTGTATTTTCTGTTCCTTCACTGGTAGTGTGTTGTTGGGCTAAGAATATATTACTTATTTTGGCACTATTCTCCAACTCCAAATAAGCTATACATGCTTACAGTGCTGTAAAGTCATAATGATGCAATCGCAGTAGAGTGGTCAAATGCATACAAAGGGTATATATAAAGTAAAATTAACTCACTGCCTCACAGCTCTGCTCATGTTGTAGCGGTTGTTTTTCTGATTCCATAAAGTATACTCTCCCCCTTTATTTCTCCTCTTCAACCCAGAAGCTCTTTGCTTCTTTGTCTGCTCTTACCACCTATTTCCGATCAGTAGAAATAACCTACAATTGAAATGGAACAATTGGATATGGTGGGCGTGAAAATAAAGTATCAAAACATCAAAGTTTATTAAAAAAAAAAGTGACATAAGTCACTAATTTCCACAGAAACCAGGACTACTTTCCTGCAAAACTCTTACCATAACAAGGAGAATATTCAAGATAAACCTTAACATGTATCAGTACATTGCTTTCCAAATAGGATATTTTTCACTTTTTATTTTTGTTACGGAAAACCAGCACACATATTTTAGAGCAGGTATTTTTATAGAAGGTATTCCAAACTATAACTGAACCAAAGACTACCACTCTGTTGCAGGGTCTCTTCAAAAGTCATGTCAGTGGCTTGGATTCCCCCACTGAACAGAAATGCTCCAACTCTGCTTTTGCACCAAACCAGAGCTGTTTGTTTCTGCCTTGGCCTCCATCTCGGGCCATCTCTGTATGAAAACAGACAGTTTTCACAGCACACACTCACAACTGACGACTATTTGCATTGTCTCTCTCTATAAAAGAGTAATACCATCACCTCTCCTTTGGATCTGCACACGGGAGTGAAGAAAAAAAAAAAAAAATGCTTTTGTGACCTACAAAAGCCTTACTTGAAATAATTCTCTACGACTTGAGGCCTTTTGGAAGGGAAGGGATATATTGTTTTGACTTGATTAAAGCTGAAAAGTTGATTTGACATCCTGTTGTCAAGGAAACCAATTCACACACAAAAGAAAACAGTTGTGATGGTATCATTCAGACTATTCAAGTGACCTTAGAAAGAAAAAAAAGCTTCAGTTCCAAAGATTTGTATTCAACTCGCTTCACTACTGTAGAAATAAAGATCATTGCTCTTTATGCTTATTGGAAAGCAGTTTTCAATCTGGAAAAAGCAAAATGCCACATCTTCTTCCAACTGCCAGATCCAATACTTTGCTGGGACCATACACATAAACACACCTACCATTTATTGCCTATTTCAAAGAACCACAGAAAGAATCACACGGAAGACGTATAGAGAAGGAGAAGGAATTTCTTTATTTGACAGGACCATGATAAATACCCCCTGACACATACCACACCTATTGAACAGCAGCTCGCAAGCCAGGTTTTAAAACGTCCTCCTTCAACTACAAATAAAGCTTACCTCAAGCACAGCAATGTTTGAGCCCAGCTTTGTTTTCCTGGGAGATACCAAAAGCAGCATTTTTTTCTCTGCCAGCCTCCTAGATCCCTCACAAATTGAGTTTTTCATGCATGCAATAAATGGGACGTAGTTATGCTCAATCTGCTCACTCCTCCTACCTACAGGATCCCAAAGAGGCAGAACTGTCCTGGCTGACCACTACCACCATCATCCACCTTTGCAGCTCATGCAAGTCTCACAGAGGTTTCATTCCCTAACAGCGGTGGGTAGATTGGAAAAGTGAAATTTTCCATCTATCTGCTCACACACTGTAATTATACGTCTCTTTCTCCAATGACATAGCCTCTGCCTGGCCGAGTGAGCAGACAGACGACTAAATAGCAACTTGTCTCGAATTCAGCTTAGAAAAAAAATAGGCATGATATTAATAAGGAGGGAAATACACTGAGGAATGAATGCCAGTGTTCTTACATTATTGTCATTTAAGGGCATCACACCAAAGGTCACGGAAATAATAAGCCTCAGTCATTTTCCATTTGTTACACAACATACAAATTGCCACAGTGTTAATGAATATCTTTCTCCATTCCTGGCCAGCCAAGACACTGTATTATTTCCTCTTAGACAAGTACCTAACCCTTGGAATTCATTATTTCCATCACTTCTTGCAGCACTTTGTCCTTAGGGCTCAGCATAAATGCCACAAGGCGGCTGTGACTGGAGCATCAAATGCTTCATATGGCTGAGCCTGATTTCTTTCTGATAGAGCTTTTTTGCTGTAAGAGCATACAAAGCATATTTATATAATTTATGATCAAATATGCACACACACATTTATATATGCTCTCTTACAAGTGTCTTAAACCCCTTGCAGAACACAGGGAAAAAAATTTGACGTTGTCTGTATTTTGAGGATATTTCAGTATATAAGTATCAAGCAATAATAGTTATGCTAGAAACACCAACTGACCACAACAATAGAAGCTACCATGAAATAACTGCATTTCCACTTAAAATGATGACAACTGGAAAGTAGTTCTTGGAACAGAAATGACATTCACAGAAATGTGGAAGGACTTGTATGAAGGGATATACTGCTTAAACCCTCTTTACTCCTAATAAAATAAGATAGCACAGCTGAGCCATAGAGAGAGGAATGCCTCATTTCTAATCTGTACTTCATATTTTAAGTTTAGGAATTTTGTATAAATATAGATAGCAACAGCTGAACGAAATTCATACTATTTCATAAACTAGGTGAGGTTTTTTAAGACGTTAAATTATTATTTCCACTGTTCACGGTAAGTATAAAGAATATGCAGATGAAAAGAGAATATTGAAGGCTGGTAGCTTTGTACAGTTCTGAAAAAGACTAAACTTTATGTGCATTATTAAAATTAGAAAGAGAAGAATGAAGTCCAACACCAAATGCTGAACTAAAATAAGCCAAGGTTACTTTCTGCACATAATCAAACAACCTCCACCTCTGTCCCCCAGACTGAAATACCGCACTCCGCATTTTGATGAACATCTTATCTTAGCATTTTCTGCTCTCCCGCCCAACAAACCCAAACAGCAAGAGCCAGAAAAGAAGAAAGCTGATGGCACTGCTAAGCTTACCCACAAACAGGTCCATACTCTGTTATGAGTTTTGTGTGGTTTTCCCAAAAGCCCTGGATGAAAGAAAAATAAGAAAGTACTTTAGAACAGTACTTAACAGAAACTCTATCATACAGTGTTGCTAACACTCACACCAAAGCTTTGAACCTCAACTAGGAGACCCATGGTATTGACTCATAACCTCACCTTTCTCTCATTGTCCATCTGTGACAGTAGAGTCCAGAAATTATGACTGGGAAAAAAAAAAAATCTTAGCCCCAAAAAAGACCTGGAAAGCCATGAAACATGTTTTCATCAGGGTTTTACACTCCAAAATATGTTACCATTTCATGATTTTTTTTTTTTTTTAAACGAATTTCATGATTGGGGTCCTGACTCATAATTTTTTTCTGATATGTGTGTGGATGGAAAAAACTGACAGAGAAATTAATAACAGAATAAGTATATGACTTACTACACACAAGAGAAATACAGGGAACATGGAAAGGTTGTCTTGTTTTGGTTTTAGTTATATTATTAGAAAAAAAAAACCCCAAACCTGCAAAGTTGGGAGTTTAGCACAAGGCAGTCACCTGGGACACTCTGCAGAACAGTAAGCAGATTTATTTTAACAAACTCTTAGAACTTTTACTGTGTTTCATTTTCATAATTGATGAAAATTGGTATCCATTTATATAAATAACCCTGCCTCTATACTAAATTGTTAGTGTCCTAAATGAATTCAAATTGATTAATCTGAAAGAAGGTGTGCAAAATGTATCCCCAAAAGTAAATGTAAAAAAAAAAAAATCTGTTTTAACCAAACTGCGATATTTGAGAATCACTGCATTGTGTTTGTAACTTGTCTATGGAAAAATAACACATTTGACTGTTACACATCTGCATTTATATTAATTCAAGAAAGACTATTGTGATCTGTCTTCATTCTTCAGAGAAAATTCACTAACAAAATAGAATACTTATGCCTCATATTGAATCTTTCTTATTTTTTTTATGACATACTGCAGAATATTAGCTAGAACAATATGAACTATTGTGAATACATTAACCACAGACATAAATAAACAAGACCATGTAATGTGTGTGTGCTTTGGGAACATTTTACCTCACTAAACAAAAGAAAACCTGGTAATCAAAAGTAGTTATCCTACTTATCACCCAAATTACCAAAGCACTTACAACCACCTACAGTCCTCCTCTTATAGAGCCCTTCAATTGCTTTTTATTCTTAATACAGTTGTTGGGTTTTTTTTAATCCTGGACTTGCAGTATGCTTATTCTACAGGACAATACGTCTCTAGGTTAAGGCAAGAACTTTAGGTTTTCCTCAAGCTATAAAAAGCTAAAGCACTGGATGGCGTGTAAGAAAACACACTAAAGATAAAATTATGAAAGAGGTAGTTTAGATGACTGCCTGAAAAAATATATATTCTCACCTGAAAAATACTTTGCTACTAAGGTAGACAGAAAAGCTTCATCCATTAGCACGCAAAAACTAAGGTGGAAAAAGCCTTTCTGATACCACAAATACATACAGCTAACTCAAAAAGGCTTTTATCTGCAGACACCAAGGGAGGGGAAAAGGTACATACGCATTCACACTGGCCTGCATTTTGCTACAGCAATACTTCAGCAGCAGCAGGATTTCAGCCTGCACTTGTTACGATTTCAGCATTGCAAAGGTTGCCTACTGCCTTCCCCTGCTGATGCAAGGGGAAATCCTGGGGCCAAATTCCCCCCAGCGCTATTCTCCAAGCAGTCATCTAAGACCGCATAAAGCAGGCTCAGCTCATCCGTGCACTCTGACCACTTTGCCTGGGAGAATGATTTCAACCTGCGTAAACACAGCTGACATTTACAGCCACGCTGAGGCACCAGCGTGACACAGGGCACCGCTCGAGGTTACAGGGCAGAGTCAAACGTGGGGTGCAAAGCACTGCTGTATCACAACGGTATCGGCTGCACGGGGCAGAGGGACTACCAGTCTTGTGAGATGATGCCGAATCAGGTCTGCCCTCCAGTCCACTTTCCTCCTAGTCTGAGCCTTCAGTGAGGACATCCCAAACTACAGCCTGAACCTTGCCTGCCAAGTGTTGCTTTGGATTGCGAGCACGCACATAGGTATTGCACTTGCTGTATCCACCAGCTGCATTCCAGCGAGCCAGCAGGATATTAACATTTACAAGAAGCCTAGGCTTTAAATGATTCAGTGAATAAGCCTTCCAGAAAGCTGGCTTCTTGGAAGCGCTGATCCTGGCTCATTACAGTAGAGGGGTCAGGCAGAACACGTTTCCAATCAGGCCTGTTAACCAATAACTTGTTTTCCACCTCCAGGTCTCCTAAATGATTGCACTGGCTTAAAATTAACCACACATAGTTTTTCTTCCCCAAAGTGAGAAGTACAAGCCTGCAGGATGGGGGGAGAGAAGGAACTGAAAAGTATCTGGGAGAGATTGTGAGAAAGCATCCTCGGGAGTAAAAAAAAGTGCTTGTTCTCTACGCTCTGGAACACTTTCTCACGTCTTGCACCACTGCACACACATACACACCACTGCCTGCCTCTGCCGTCCAGCTCCAGGACCCACTGCTATCCTGGCCCTCTTCACAGGCATGGTGAGCTCCTGGGAGCAGGTCTCGTCGGGCTGCCTGAGAAAGACGAGCAAACAGCATGCACAGAGCCCTGCGAGACTCTGGTGGCCAGAGCATGGGCAAGGTAGAGGGAACATGTGCGTGCGTCCCTTACAAGCCAAGGCACGCCCTTCAGCTGGAGGAAGCTGGGGCCGTATGAAGGCACTTGTGTTTCTTCTCAATAGCCACGAGGAAGGCCAATGAACCTGTGATGGTCTCAGCACACAGTGAGGGGATATGCCACGTCCACATAGCTCTGCCAGTTTTGCAGCATCATCCCTGAACACAGCTTCCAGTAGACAGGTACCTTGAAAACATCCTCCTCCTTCTATGAGTCATCTTTGAAGCACAGCAAGCCTCCTAAGTGCTTTTGGTAACTTATTTACACCAGCTGAGGTTGATCTGCTCCAAGGCACATTATTGCAGGTTTGTCCAGGTTTATAATTGCAATGGTACTTAGTACCTACAGGATAACTAAGCACCTGCCCACCAGCAGCAACTGTTTTACAAGAAAATGGAGGTAGAGACCTCTCTTTGACTCAGGATCACCCAGTGGGGAAACACGAGGAGAGGAAGCGAACTCAGAAATGGTGCCTGCTGACATGTACCCAGTGGCTTAAACAGCCATAAGACAGGAGCTATAATGAAGCAATGTGGGGGTTAGGAAGGGGATAATCAGGGAAAAATGGAAATGTATGTACTCTGATTTTTTAAGAAAACAGAAGGAAACTGAAAAGCAAAACAACGCACGGTATTACGAGATGACACCATGTGCATCAGGAGGAACAGTAGCACATTAAACAGTCACTCATAACAATGAAGTGTAAAAGCATAGTCAGTAATGCTTTTCCAAGTCAGAAAAATCACGTAGCTTTTCTTTGTTTGGAAGCTGCAGAATATGAATTGTCATCAACAACAACTCAGAAGAGGGTTGGGGCAGGGAGGGACTTGCTGTGTGTGGCCCCTACAGTGAGGTACCAGCCTGATGACAGCCCATTATCAAACAAGATAACGCAGGAGTATGAAAAGCTTCTTTCCCTGAAGAAAGCATATTTTACAGCATCTGGTACACCATGGAAACAGCAGCTCAAGTGGGCTGACTGCTGCACACCCAGAAGGCTGCTTTGTTTACATGGCTGGCGGTTGCCTCCCTACAGGGAATTTGCATTCTCCCCTTCCTCTGAGCATGTATCATCAGCTGCATCTGTGGTAGAACCACTTACAAGGCCAAATCCTGCTCTCAAAGATACAGGTGCAACCCCTATGGAAGGGAACAAGATTTGGGTCTGCATCAGTCAGAGCCAAGTCTGGCCACTGCCAACCATCTATCCTGAGATACCAAACGTTGAGACTTCAGCCTGAGCAGCACATACATGAAAGGGCTTCAGAAAGGACTCCATCGGCTCAAGTATCCTCTTTCCTTTTTTCAATAGATTCTGCCACTGCAGGACGGATCCTTCAGCAATTTCCTCCTTGTTGCATATTCACCTTGCTAGTTCCTCACAGCAAGGAAAAATCTGCAGCAATGTCATCTTCCCTCCTTGCTGAAAACAGGTGTAGGCACTAAGCCAAAGTTTTCAGAAAGAGGCAGTAGTACCATGCATTTTGATTTTTGGCGTGTCTAACATGAGGCATATCCAACCTATTCTTATTAGTTGCTCAATACCTGCAGATCTCATGGCTGCAAATGGGGACTTAAGTGACTTTAAGCTTAAACTCAAGCTTAAAGTGACCCAGGCTGCATGGAGGATGCTTTTTAACATTTCAGCTTGCTGCACCTGGAAGACAAATCACGTGGTTTATGAACTGAGCTATAGTCCTTAAGGGTCACTAGATAAAATGGTTTGAAGGGGGCCACATAGTTGGGATCCAGCAGATGCATGCTTCTGACAGTAGCTCAAAATTTGGACTCCAGAAAAGTGACTTCCAGAACGCATGAGGGTAGCCCTTGAGTTTCCTAGTGTACTGAATGCTACAAAAGCTACGGAGCTATGGGGAGAGCGATGTGGTGTGCCCATCAAAATCCATTGCAAGTAGGAAACATTGCCCATGCAAGAACAGCCAAGGGAAAAAGGCTTCTTTTGTTGACCCTTTCTGAAAAGCATCACACATTACCTGATGTCAGTCACTTACCAAGACAGCCTGGATTCAAACCTGTGACTCAGAAGCCAAAGATACCACATCTCATCACTAGTCCCATATACGCTCCACCCTCACCACCCTGTAGTCAGACACGTTGTTCTGTTTCACTATGATATTAATAACCAAAGCATCATTGTTTGAGTGCACACCTCATATCAAGGGACAAAAATCTATACAGTTCTTTATGGTACATAATGAATGACATTTATGGATCAGATTTTTAGTATTCAATGGGCTTCACACGTCTTTTTTCCTTAGACCACCTGGAAAAAAAAACCAACTG